TTTACTTTATTCTAATTCGTAACGTGTTCGTAACAACTGTTCAGAGTGTTTATAATATATTACCAGAAATCTGTTATTATTGTTATTCAAGTTTCTTATATCTATATAAGTGTGCGAAGTGCGAGGTATCCGAAAAAAGATGCCATCACTGGTTTTCAAGTGGGTTAAAATTACAAAATACATCAGTAAGTGTTGTAGTAGTACTAATAAGTATATTGTACAATTTTTTTTATAATTTAATGATTGCAGAATGGTGTTATTTAATTTAATTAAATGGTGTTTTATTTAATTTATTTAATTAATTTATTTAAAATTTTAATCTAAGGCTTCGAATAACATATCTTGAAGCGTTTTTTATAACAACATACCAATGCGCCAGTAGCGATATTGTCCATCAAATATGGGGAAAAGTTGCTTCAGGACGGTAATTCGAGTTGCGATTTTTTTTTGTTTTTTTTTTGAAAATTGGACACATAAAAAACCCGAATTGAAGGTTAAAAAAATGTAGTTTGACCTACTAAAAGATAATCGTCGTCGAATTAGAACAAAACGGCCAAAATTCCGTTTAATTTTTTTAATCGAAAAGAAAATCGAAATTGGAAAAATAAAAAACAAGGGTAGAAAAATGTAGTTTAACATACCTAAAGATAATCGTCGTCGAATTTAAACGTCACTGTCCGTTTAATTACTTTAATTAAAAAAAAAAAATACATCAATTAAAATCAGCGAAAACAAATCAACAAAATATAAGTTGCCAAATATTTAATTGCGGTATCGCTAGTTTTTGTCAAAATTATAATTTTTGCATTTTTTAATAGATAATTAAGTATTAAAAAATGCAGTTTCCATGTTTTTCGAAATTTATTAAATAAAAAGTATTATAAAACTTGATAAGGAATTTTTAATAAAACATTTATAATAATAAATTGAACATAAAGTGTGTTTTTCTACAACCAAGCGAAAAGTACAAATTTGCGCTTTCAAAAGAAAGCGTAAAGTTGCACGTCGAGCGACAGTTACTTTACAAAAAAAAAGTTTATATACAAAAGTGAAATTTTAGTTTCACCCTTACTTCCTAAGAAGTCCCAGAAGCCAACTGAATGGCTTAAGTGGGTTAGGGGTAGGAATGGACCGCGGGCAAACACATCGAAACCATAATAAAGAAACGTTTAGTGTATTTGCGACTTTTTATAGGAACGTCAAATTTAAGGTTATCAATAATAATTAATTTTTACCAAACATTCTTATAGAAACACCGGTTGTAGAAAAAATCCTGTGTGTAATTTGATATTGCCGCTCTCGCGAGATAGCCGCGCTCCGCTACGCGTCGCCCGTCAAACTTCTCGCTCAGAGCGGCAATGTATTGCTTTGCGCTCTTAATACACAAATGGCTATTATGGGAATTTTTCTCACTCGTCAGAAAAAATTCAAAACGCTTTGTTAACATTTTCCCTATTAAAGTATTGATTAGAATAATTAATGTTTTTCTTCAAGTTTTGTGCTTGTTTATGTTTTATGAAAAAATCCTTTAAATAAACCATATCAGATGGATCCCTAAATTAAAGTTCATTTTTGCAAATTATACACAGGGGTACAGGGGAACCCAACAAAATACCAAGTAACACTTTGACAGGTGCCAAATTGACAGATGACAGACAGATGACAAATTACAGGTGTCAATTTGACACATTTATAAAAAATCATCTTTTTAATTTTAATTATTGAATTTCAACCCACTTTTGGTGGATAAAACAAAATTTAAAATTTCCACGTTGCAACTGGTTTTCTACTTAGTTTAGGTGGAGCGCCATTTTAGTCACGAATTCTAAGTAGGCACGAGAGATCCTTGCAACCCAGTGTTTAGTAAAAAAATATGTGTCTAGAAGAGTTTACAACAAGACGAATACTATACTTTCTCTGTAAAAAATACTTTTTACAAAAAATAATGAATTACTAATTATTTTATATATATATATATATATATTTGTACAAAGCGATATCTAAACAAAAAAATAGTATTAATGTTAGGAATCTGTTTTAACTGCTTTTAAAGTGAGAATGTCAGTTTGTCGAATTATCCTGTAAATATCAAAATTTCTTCATTGGAAATGGACTAACAACCGTTTAAATCCGACATTGAAGCAGTTTTTACATTGAAATTGAAGAGGATGGTTTTATGGGTATTCCACCTGAACTTAAAAATTCTGCCGGCAAAATCAAAAAGTGAGTACAAACGTGCATATAAACTTTTCAAAGATTGGCGGCAATAATTTTGTATTTTTCTAGGTATAGAGTTATTAAAATATTTTCCAAATTTTAGTATTATTCGCAAGAAGTGCACTTTATTTTCACGATTGTATAACATTTGAGAAATGTCAACTAACTTAAAACTAACTTCAGCCCTTGACTAAAAAGCCCAAAAACCATTGCTGCTAACTTAAACCCGTGATTTAAAAGCCATAGTCACAATTTGTCAATGTGTATTCAAAAGATCACTAAGTGTCATGGAAACATAATAGCAAGCATGATAGATAATTGGAGTAAAAGGAAATTATTGGTATTTTTAAGTAGGTACACGTATACAGCGCACAAAAATGTACACGGAATAAAAAGTTAATTATTTACCTAGTGCACGAAATTAAACTTGAGGTTATATTAAAACCGTTTACAATAAATAGGAAAATTATGGTATTTAAGTTTGGGAATGATTACCTAACACTATTGTAAGCAACTTTCCAATATTTTTTTTCTGTTAATTTTATTTTATTATATTTTATGTCATTTATGCTTTATGCGATATTTCCTATCTTATCTTGTGCATTTTGTTGTTTATTGTTTAATTCTTTTAAATTACTTATTTTATAGGTAATAGATTTTTGTAAAATATTATGTTTTATCTTACATTTTTAAAAAAGACTTCGAACACATAAAAGGGTTGTACTGGATAGATATTAAAAGTTAAAGTTGGTAAATGTTTTCTATTTACTAAGAAAAAGTTATTAAGGGCCGTGAATGGCCGCGAGAAAAAATCAACAAAGTTGGCAAAAGGTGTAATAATTAACAGGTTGTGAAAGTTTTCGAGCGAGTTACGCGCTTTTAAGGAAAATAAATGACTTTCGGGCGTTAATTATAATTTTCAATCAAGCCTTCTAGATAAATTATGGAACTTCCCAGTAATTAACAGAGGGCTCGAACTTTCATAAACAATAGTTAAAATTTATTTTATTTTGGCTTAAAGATGAGCGCTGGAAGTAAAACAAAAATCATTTTCTGATATAGGTATTAGGTATTATTGGTTTGACCAGAGTTTTAAGGATTTATATAGAAATATTTGTTTATTATTTAATTTAATTATAATAAAGGATATAGGATATAAGGTATTAGGTATTATTGGTTTGACCAGAGTTTTAAGGATTTATATAGAAATATTTGTTTATTATTTAATTTAATTATAATAAAGGATATAGGATATAATCTTTACGTTTTTTGTTTGATAAATCCTTTATAAATATGTATATCTTTTTTTATTTTGGATTTTTATAATTAATAAGATTTATAAATAATTTAGAGTATTATGAAATTGGATTTTTATTTTTTGTTGTAAATTTTTAGGAAATTAATTTCTAAAAAATTAATATCTAAGTCATTTCACCAAATAACTTTTTATTGGGTTGTGACCGCCGTAAAAGATTCTTAGCTTGTCAATAAAAATATATTTTTTTTATACTTTTATAATTAAATAAAGTTTCTTTAAATCGCTTTCTTTACATTTGTTAAAAACGTATTTTAACGGCAGCAATCTTTAGACTAGATTTTTCATCAAAACGTATTTTTTTTCCAAAAATGTTTTCAAGCGGAAATTCATAAATTATATAAATTTCTGATCTTTTAACTTGTTTTTAAATTTTCGAAAAAAGTGGATGAGTGTAATATCGGTGAAATTCTTTATATTTCGGCCAATCAAATCATATAAAATTTTCCAAAAAAATTTTGTTTAGTATGTTAGTAATAATAATAATATTAAAAATATAAAAGTATAAAATAGGGTAAAGCATATTTTGGTGTTGTTTTTCTATGTATTTTTTAAACTGCAGTTTAGCCATAAGCTATTGTCCCATAAATTTAAACATTGAGACATTTTATTTTACAAAAATATATTTAACTGATTTGCTTGCATAAAATGTGCTAAACAGGGTGTAAATAAAACCGTGCATCTAAAATACTTTGCATGCATGATGTATGGGACAAAACTGTAAATTTGCTCCAATTAAACGTGGCAACGTCACCACTTTGATCAAAGAAGCGTTTCAAAACATTTTGGGATTGTCCCGAATAAAAAATTAAAGTAGTCGAATTCAAAATTTTGCGATTGGAAACACAAGACCCTTTTTCTAGTTTGTATTATTTCTTAAACATCAATAAATAGGCCACTTAATAAACATTGCATGACGAAAACTATACATTATTTTTAAAAATCTTACATTTATTTATATTTTAAAACTGTCAACCCGCGGGCTCTGCTCCGCATTATTGTTTTGTCTTATGAAATATAAAAAAATGACTGGAATTCAAAATATTAACAATTATTTTTTTTGCAAAAATCAAAAAATAAAAATTATAGAGATTAAAGTGGAATCGAATAAGGTGCAAAAAACGACTTTATTTTACTTTTAGATTAAAAAACATACTATGACATTATGTATGGAAAATAACATATGGTTTCCGCGGCTTTGGTGGGTTGCGTCCATTCGAGAAGCCAAATTTTGAATTACTTCTTGGCAGAGATCGGGTTGTATTTCGCCAATGACGTGTCGGATATTGCATTTAAGTGCTTCAATAGTCAAGGCTTATTTGCTTACACCAGAATCTTCACATCCCCTATATGAAGAAATCCAAAGGAGTAAGATCACACGATCTCTCTGGTCAATTGATATGCTGTTACGTAAAATTACAAACCCAGGACATTTTTCTGCTATCAAGTCCAGTGTTTTACGTGCTGAATGACAAGTGGCGCCATATCCATATCCTCCAATCGAGGCCAAAATAAATCCCGTATCATCGTTCGGTACCCTTCTCCGTTGACCGCCTTTCTTATCTTCAAAGAAATAAGGACCGATGACGACGCCAGACCAAAATCCACCCCAGACAGTAATCTTTTCTGGATGCAATTGACGCTCTACAATCTTTCGTGGGTTTGCTTCACTCCAAATCCGACAGTTCTGCTTAACAAAGCTGATCAACCAAAAATGATCCTCATCGCTAAAAATGATTTTCTGGCCGAACTCAGGGTCTGCTTTCAAATGCTCTAGAGCCCAATTAGCAAAACGTCGACGCAAAAGATTATCGTTTGGCTTGATCTCTTGGGTCAACTGGATCTTATAGGGGTGTAATCCCAAGTCTTTGCGCAATATTCGCCAAACTGAGGACTGACAAAGGTCCGTCGCACACTGGTCCGAATCGTGCTTGACTTTGGCCAAAACCCCAAAAATAAAGTTATTAATTATGACATTATTTTAATTCATACAGGTAGAGAAATGTTTGAAGTATTTAAAAACCAAAGAGTTTAGGTATAAAATCGCCCTACCTGATCCCTAGGGCAGTTTTATTGAACCCTTTTTTGCAATTGCTTGGAAACAGTTATTGGGTTGATTTTGATTGTGCAACAAAAGTGCTATTATTTCGTTAACGACTTGTTCGATTTTAACAGTTCAAAATGGAAAATGTTTCTGAAGGTATGTACAATAATTTTATAAAATTACATTTTTGAAAAAAAAGTATTTGTTGTTAAAATTTATACTAACATAATGGCCTGATTTTAATTTTTTTTCGATTTTTTCGTTTTTTTTACTTGGAATAACTTAAAATGTGGGCATTTGCGGAAGACGTTTTTTTACGGGGAAACGTTCATTGAAGTGTCTATTATAAGGTTCTTAAAAAATAGGCTGCAGCCACTTGCGCGAAAATTAATAAAACAATAATATACACGTTCGTGCCCGGATTTGAGACAGTAGTCGCGGTTAAACGCAGTGATGCTTAGTAAATATATTTTTTAAGATTTTATAATAGGATAACAAATATACAGAAAAAATTATTTATGCAAAGATATTCGTCAGTACCGCGAAAATTTTTCAAGAAAATCTTCTCGAGAAAAGTCAATGTCGGACGTTAAATTAAAGGTGAAAGGTAATGAATCATTGCATCCTACTGTGATTGAGCTCCTTGAACTTATTAAAGAAAGTGCAGCTGAAGAAATAGACATTGATGACTATGACTTTTAATGTAAATTACATTATGTAATAGTATAATTTTAATTTAATAAACATTGAAATTTTGTACGCAAGTGTATTTTATTTTTTTGACAATTATTACAATAATACTAAATAAGTAACCTTACAACCGAATTAGGCCGAACCTAATACTCACAATAATTAATAATTAAAAAAAAATCCGCCATTTTTGGTACATTGGTTTGTATTAAATAATTTTGATATCAAATTCATGATTAGCGAATGCAAAAATTAAAAATTTCAGGACGATTAACAATTTTTTTTAAATCCGCCATTTTTGGTCCACCATTTTAAATTTACTAATATTGAATTTAAATTTATGATTAACGATCCCACAAACCTAAAAATTAACATTTTCAGGACGATTAATTAATTATTTTTCAAAAAAGTCCGCCATTTTTGGTCCCCCATTTTGAATTTAATAATTTTAATATTAAATTCGTGATGAGCGACCCCAAAAACCTAAAAATTAACATTTTTTGGGAGAATTAACTAAATATTTTTTTTAAAAGTCCGCAATTTTTGGTGCGCCATTTTGAATTTAATAATTTTGATATCAAATTTGTGATAAGCGACCCCAGAAACCTAAAAATTAACATTTTCATGACGATTAACCAATTATTTGTCAAAAAAGTCCGCCATTTTTAGTCCGCCATTTTGAATTTAATAATTTTGATATTAATTTTGTAATCAGCGACCCCAATAACCCTAAAATACAAATTTTTACATTATTACATTCACTTTTCGAGTTTTGGCCAGAGAATAAGTCGATTCGGACCAGGGTGCGTCGGGGTATTGAGAGTTTAGGATTCTCATGCACACTTTCTCCAACAGCAGCAACATTTTCAACAGACAGATTTATCGGTGAAAAAAGTACATTTTTAAAAACTTTTTATTATGGTTATTTTTATGACGATAATTTGTTAAAAACATCTTAAAGCAATAGATTTTGGTAAAGAAATATTTTTAAATAATTATATTTTGATTTTATGACACCTCGAAAAAATATTTTTAAAACAATAAAATTGGCTAAAAATTACGCACACATTAAATAAACTACATCTTTTAATCGAACAAAAACATGTATATATTTTTTTAAATATGAGCTCTCTAAAAATGAATTAGTCAAAAATGACTAATTTAATAGTTATTAGTGGCTGCTTTTTTACTTGTACCATGGTTAACCATGGAATACCATGGTATCCAAAAATGTAAAATTGTCCACTGAATCCGAAAATACCGTCAAAAGTTAAAAAAAAGTAGAACAGTTTTTGATATAGTCAATTTCCATTTAATATGGAATTGACTATATCTCAAAAACTGTTCCACTTTCATAATTTTTGACGGTATTTTCGGATTTAGGGAAAATTTTACATAAGAATTGGCTGTTCAATTTTGGGATACCATGGTATTCCATACATTTTAATTATCTGGATTCATTTGTGTATCTCTCCATTATAAATTGACAAGCTTTGTGAAAAACGTACGTCAAAAAATGACAGCAGGATCTTTTGAAATAATAACGCCATCGTTGTTTAAAGATCTATCACTCTTAATGAAAAACCCTTTATATCGTCTTCTATCAAGAAAAAAGAAAAAAACACAATGAATAGCCGATAAAAAGTCCCGTTAAAACATATTCCGCCGGAAAAACATTTTAACACTTTAATTTTGTTTATTTCTATAGATGTATAGATAGAAAAAAAAAGAAAAGATTAATAATTTTAATAAATGGTTTCTGTCCTTTTAATATGAGGCGCCGTTTGTGTCATTAATAAATGCTAAAATATATATAATATTTACTGATATATATTTATTTTTATTAAATATATATATATATATATATATATATATTTTTTGCAAATTTATTTTGTATATATATTTTTTTGTTGAAAATAAATATATATATATTAATTTACTTTCTTAAAAAAACATATATATTTTTATTAAATAAATATATATTTTAAAAAATAAATATATATTTTTTAGTAAAGTTACATATTTATATAAAAACTGAGCTTATGAAAACAGTCGCTTGGTGGCGTTCACGCTGCAACAGCTGACGCGTGACAAAACATTACATTTGGCGCTTTCTTTCTTCCGACATTGTTATTGTTATTGGTCTAGGATTCTTATTAAGTTTGTATTTAAATATAAATACTAGATTACTTTAGATTACTTTAGATTAGTTATGGTTTAGGCTTGTTCATTTTTAGTTTTATTTATATCTAGATGTTGTCTTAAATTTATTGGTTAAGCTATTTTTGGCTCGTAGAAAGCCTGTTGCGGGCGTATTATTTATTTATTTTATTTAGGATAATGCCATAGTGTTAAATTGTTTAAATGTCTATTTTGTAAATTATTTATAGTTGTTTCTGGGCTAAAACTTGTATCAGTAATTACTGCCTTTCAGTCCTTTTTGCAGAAATGTGTAATTGTGTTTTATTGTAAATCATTGATGTATATTTTTACAGTTACTGCAAATAAATTATTATTATTATTATGTAGACACTGGATCACATATTTAGAGATATGTGCACTACATAAAATATTTACTTCAAATCAAACACAATTACCTACCGGCAATTTCTTGTTCATAACCCTTTTTTATCTAGTTTTATAACATAACCTTGCACCACTATTTTTGGGTCAGCTGTTGCAGCGTTGCGTTTGCGAAGTGAACGCCACCAAGCGACTGTTCGCATAAGCTCAGTTTTTATATAAATATGTAAGTTCACTAAAAATATATATTTATTTTTTAAAAATATATATATATTTATTTTTTAATATATATATATATATATAATTTTTTTTTAATATATATATTTTTGTTTAAAAAGTAAATATATATATATATTTATTTTCAACAAAAAAATATATATTTGCAAAAAATATATATATATTTAATAAAAATAAATATATATCAGTAAATATTATATATATTTTAGCATTTATTAATGACACAAACGGCGCCTCATATTTTAATGCAACCACGATAAAATTAATTAAATTGGCAATCGTAATTTTAAGCACATAATCGCCTCTTAGAATCGCTCAGAAGCAATTATAGTCTTTCATATAAATTAAATAACGTTGTAATTGTATTTGTTGATATATTCTTGTTTGGTTAGGGCCCTTTAACGAAGGCTTAAGAGGAAAGCGAAGCAAAGATTTACGTAAAGAGGGAAAATTAATCCTCTTAAGTTCAATTCAATATATTTAAAGTAATTTTCCTATATTTTCATAAAAATGGTGAACCTTTTCAAAGTTTTTGCATAAAACAAAACCTAACATGTTATAAGGGTATTACGACAACGTTATACATTAGTACAGTTCTAGTATTTAATAAATAGCAGGTTTCTAAATAACTTTTAATCTTTTTTCTTTTTAAATTAATGAACTTTTACGAGAATCCTTTATAGTACATTTAAATTAATTTAAATAATTTACATGCATTTACAATTGTTGGTTCATAAATATTAAAACGGCATTTTGAAGTACTTTGGTTAAATATTTAGAAATAATTCTATGGCATAGTTTTGCATAACTAAAACAAGTTATCCAATAAATGTATAATGTATAATGAAATATACTATACAGTGCCCGCGTTAGAAGTTATCTTTTGAACGAAAAAATGTATTGACATCGGTTGCTAAGTATTTGAGCATTTGAATTTTTCAAACTATGAAGCCTGTTTGGTAAATCCGGTCCTGGCAGTACGAATTATCGCAAATCTGTATTACCATTTAATTTTTTTACCCTTTTTTGTTTTTGTTTTGTAAAAAAACGTACCAGTGTAGTTTTAAGGCGGTTTATAAAATAGTTGTACTCTTTAGTATAACACTATTTATCAGTTGTGCCTGCAATTTTACTTTTTATTTAGTTGGAAAATGGCGCAAAGCTCGCTCTTTGAAAAAAAAAACGGAAGCCATTTTTATTTATGTTGAAGTTGCATGTAATTTGCACCAAGTTGAGAGGGTGTTTAATAAATGGGACTCAGACAACCCTATTTGCATAAAATA